CAACCAATTTCATATTTTCTTGTAGCTTGTCCATCGATTCGAAAAGCTGGGTCATCAAATCCTGCAGAGCTTGGTCGCGTTCCGTGCGGCCTTTGTTGTTTTTCTTGAGCACGTCTGCCATAGAGACATCCAGTGCCCACTCCAGGTGCTTTTTCAATTTGTTATATTCACCAACGACCGCACCCACGCGGCTGGTGTTGTGGTTCACACCAGCAGCCAATGATTCTGATGCCCTTGCCATGTTGTTGACTGCCGCTCCCACGGCCTCTAGGCTACGGCAAAGGTCCTGCTGAAGAGTATGCGCAGCGACCATCGAAGTGATTCCCACAGCCAAGCCCGTGGTAGAGTTCAACAGGTCTGTCGCATCACTGTGGTCAAGTGCTTCATGCATCCTCAATCTTGGAGATCTCGATCTGTCATCATCTCTTCCAGCATCTCTTTCCTCTTTGTCTTCCTTGTCTTCTCCATGCACATGAGCAGTGTTCTGCTCTCCCTCTTTCTCTGATTCAGTCTCATCATTTCCTGCTCGTGCCGTCACTGGTGGATTCTCAGACAAGGGAAATTCTCCTGCTTCCGCTGGAGCTGCCGGGGCTGCTGGAGCTGGCACGTTCGCTGCCATGAATTGTTCGAGTCTCCTAGACAAGGCCTGATGCACTCGCTGGGATAAGCCGGGGCCCAAATACAGCTTGGGCATAATCTGCAATTCAACTTGACGATCCATCTACTGACCATGCAGGTTACAACTCAGCCATTTCATGCCATGCCAATCACAAACTCTCTCTTATTCATCCTAAGGTGCGTGACGCACACCTTAAACAGATGAGTCACACTTCCGCCAAAGATCACACTCACTACTACCCCAAGATGCGTGCCGCACATCTTGACAGGTAATATGTGATCGACCAAACTTCAATGTCTCAGACAAAACAAAAATAATGCAAACTTGTGGCAAACCGCAAACTCAATCCAAATCCAACTGCCAATGCATGCACAACCCTTCACAAAACTGCAAAACAGATCACAGTGGTTTCTGCGCATAAAACCCATAGACATGTCATGCAGCAAAAATGAAAACTCATGCAAAGCTCGTGACAGCTGACTGAGTTCCACAAGTCCAAGTTCCGTCCAGTCCGAAATCGTCCAAAACTCTGAAGTTCCAAGACATCCCAAAATTGTCATTTCACTCCAATCTCAGCTTGACAGCTCTTTCATCACAGCTTTTGCATTTCTCCTCGCAGCTGTCGTCGGCTTCCAAGCCTAGCACTACCACCCGGCCTGGAACCATTGCAAAAACCTATATATTGGGAGCTGGTTTCCTCCCTACTCAGACGATCTTGTGAGCGTCCGCGGCAAACTTGTACAATAAGTTGCCATTCTCGTCGAACTCCAAAGCCTTCATCGTGCCCTGCCAACGATATTCGTTGGGTTTATACTTCAGAAGGATCCCCGCCTCGGCCTTCTGGAGATAGCCAATGGCGGTCAGTTCGACCTCAACAAGGACATAATCCTTGGCACAGAACTCACCCTTGGGACCTTCCGGCGTCCAATCATTGAAGTACTGCGCACGCTCAACGGCAGCAATCGGGTCTTTTCATAGTCCAAACCTTTTGGAATATTCGTCAGGCTGAATCTCCTTGCCATTGTTCAAGTCCTCAAACTGCTTAGGAGTCAGAGCCAACCAAAGACGAATGGATTCCATTGCCATTGATGCCAAATGATCTCAAAGCGATCGATAGGGCGGTTGACATGCAAAAACACTGAGCCAAAGTTGTCTTATAGTAGAACAGCAACGGTGGAATGAAACCTATACAAACATGAGAAGTCCAGACAAAATGTCAAGTCAAGTCCAACAGAATGTACAGCTCCATACTTCGTCTCTCACTTAGACAGTATGTCGAGCCACGAACTGACATCACATTTACATTCATTTCAGTCAGTTTCACGTTTTGGAACCTATGCAAGTCGTCTAGTCGCCCCTGCCGTCCAGTTCCCTGTTTCTTTCTTTCTGACTTAATCTGTTATCTGAGCCTATGCACGTCTGCACTCCAGCTCATGTGTGAACCTTGCAACGTCTTGCAATCTGGTCCACGTTTTGACTTTCTACAACTTTTCTTTCCTTTTCGGAACCTATGCAAGTCGTAATCGCTCCTGCCGTCCAGTTCCCTATGGACCTATGCAGCGCCTCTGCCATCCAGCCCATTTCTTTCTCTTTTGGTTGTAAGTCAAAACTTCTCAATTCAAAGGAAAATTGCAAATCTCAAATCCCAGATTCCCTCTCTTGCTTTTCACTCTGAGCAACACGCAAACGCACAAACTACACTACCGCTCTACTTCCCTCTCAGGATCCTCTGCAAGGCTCCAATGCTGTAAATCTCGTGAAACTCTATGCCAGCCTTCTGGTAGTACAAGATGTCCACTCAACATGGCCCAAGGTTCGCAAAGGAAACCCTCCAGGGTCGACTAACATCACAAGCATCTTGTTCTCAAACCACATTTCTACCAAAGGAAGTGCCATAACCAAAGTAGGCAAACCACACTGGCAATCATCACTATAAAGACCATAGAGCTCGTCTCACAGCCAAATTGGCTTGCAGATATCTCCGTGCTCATCCATCCCTCTAGAGAGGTACGGTACGACTGCTCTAAGCCAAAAGGGGAATGCTTGCATTCAGGTAATCTTCACACAAAGTCCAGTCAGTCTGACAACAACTCCAGAGTACCTACCTGTCTCAGGGTTCAATGTACCTTCTCTGCATCTGTCCTAATCCTCACGACTACATCCGTTTCAGGTCTCACAAACAACTGCAACAATCCAAGTAACGTAAGTCATACCTGACCTGCCTGCGACTCTGCACAGCTGTTCAAATTCCGGTCAAAGAAAAACATGAAAACAAACTCACAACAAAGTCTCCTATTTCGTTTAAATACAGTTCAAAACAGTTTCCACTACCTACACAGTTCAGGTCGTTTCCATTGACCTATCGCAATACATGCTCAACTCAAATACTTCCACAACTGCAGTTCAAACCAAGGATGCTACCTGATGCATCTGAGAAATCCAGATCAACTTTCCCAAACAGGCGGTGTCCATATGTCACCTTACTCTCGCTCCGTTGTCAACCAACACCTCAACACCAAGTTCCACTGTGCCTTTAGTGCCATGACGGTTCCTATTTCTCTCTCTCTCAGCACTCCAGTACCTATACTGCCAGGCAAACAACAATGCTTCAGGCTCCAATCTCAAGGTCACCAGTCAGTGCAAACATCCGTCAAGCTCCACTGTTCCTGCAAACTACTGAACCTCAGGTGTTCAACTATTCACTCATTGTATTACAAATGTGGCAACTAAACCAAGGTCACTGACAAAGCAAACTCGACCCTCCAGGTTCTCATGCCAACGCTTCTCAAATGTGGCAACTAAACCAAGGTCACCGACCCTCCAGGTTCTCATGCCACAATTTCTCTTTCTAACTACCATCTCCAGGCATGACGCCAGGCTCAGTAGCACCACGCACTGTGCACTCCGTGCGTCCAGGATCAACTACAACCTGACCAACCTGTCGAGATGTAACTCTTTCTTACTTTTCTAATATGGACCTATGCAGCACCCTGCCATCCAGTCCATTTCTTTTCCAGTTCTTTCAAATGCTTTCCAGTGATTCTCCAGGCACTCTCTCTCTCTCTGCCAAAATCACCAAGCTTCCTAGTGACTCTCCAGGCTCTCTCTCTCTCTCTCTTGCCAAAGTCACCAAACCTCTTACACAATAAAACTGCAAATCTCACATGCAACGCAACTCAGTATACTTTCACATGCAGCTCATTCGTTGTCACCTATTTTCACACGCTTACCATTACTGCCAGGAACCCTATCGCCTACATCTGCCAAATCTATCACACAGCAATGGGTCACAGGTATTTCAACCTTGCAATGACCGGTGGTATCTGCCTAAGATATGCTCACGCATCTCACAAATCTGCCTCTGCATTTCGGTTTCCAGTTCTCTGAGATGATCACGGAACATTGCCATGATGTCTCGTTGGTTCGCATTCAGGCGAACATCTTCAAGCAACGGCAAAAGCCATTCCATGAGAACAAGCACAGTCTGTATCAGCCGAAATACACTCGTCACCTTTTCCAAGCCGATAATCCAACCAATGTACTGTTCCTCCATTGCTTCACGTAATGGCCGGTTGTCGCGGCGATTTGTCCATTCTTAGTCCAGGCTGTATGGCGATACTTTCCTCGAGCTTAAACGCTACGGTTCCAACCAAAATCCAATGGTTTCTCAACTTTTACTTTCCAAGGACTTCTAGGCCAGTTGTCGGAGTCTCCATTGTCCAAACACTCCATTTGTGTCTCCAGGACCTACTCCCAACTTCAACCTAAGATTGGTAGGTTACCTATTTCTCTTTACTCACCTCGAGGCAAGTTGTCGGAGTTCTCGCGGGTCGACACGCAGGGGCGAGTAGTGGGATTCGATAGCACCCTTATCGTTGAATGTTGCAGTAGGTGTAGTTGTCTTCGTTGTGGTGCTAACTTTACTTTGGGCAAAATAACTGGACGACCCGGGTTCGAATGTTCATCATGTTTCTGGATGCCTTACTTTTATGTGAACTTGGTCCACTTGATTGGTTGTGACTTGATCTCTGGGTGAGTCATGAGTTTCCATGATGTGCTTTGCGTGTGGACACACGGGACTACATTAGAGATAGGATCTCTGGCTGTTCATGTGGGTTTGCATGAAGTTTATCGCCTGTCATGTGGACACATGAGTTTCGATTTAGAGATGTGAGTCTCTTGCTTGTCATGTGAGATTAACATGAATGTTTGGACCTGTCATGAGGATTCATGACAAGATTGCTAGCTGGCCACTAGCGGTTTGGGCGTAACGGTTTGGCTGCGCGTTTAGCGTAACGGATTGGTTGCGCGGAGGGCCGCGGCGTTGGTGATGTTCAGTGTTTCTTGAGCCGAGGCCTACAACGCGATCATCGATCCGTCGATGGGGTTCTTGCGGATTCGTCCAGGCAAGACGACCACGACACCGCCAAGCACTCCGGAAGAATTGCGGCTCCGCCACAGGCGCATTGGGCTAGCCTGGGATTTTGTAAAAGCGCGTCACACCACACGCACTTGGTTGCCTACATCATCGGTCGACACGTTCCGCAAATTGTCCGATTATGTTTTGGGTGCATCAGTCGCTGGTCTGCGCGCGGCCGACCAGCGAAGTCCCACGTGGTCTCTGGTCCTCACTTATGAGCTGGAATTGCGAAAGGCCGCTTATCGGTTTGTTCGGGATGGTGATTGTGCTTGCATCGATTCTGCAATCGAAAAGGCCATGGACAGTCCAAAGTTGTTGACAGAGCATTTTGTAGTACCTTTCACGCTGGGCAAATCATTTTCCCCTGCCAGCGGAAGCCCAGCACATGAAAAGGGCTTTGGAAAAGGCAAACAGATGCCGTCCTGGGACAGGCAATGGGGCAAATCCTCTAAGACACCTGAAGGCAAGCCGATTTGTTTCAAGTTCCAGAAAGGGAGGTGCTCCGACAAGGCTTGTCGATTTGCACATGCGTGCCAGCGTTGCTTCGGTCGCCATCCCTTCACGCAGTGCCGTTTCAAGAAGGAGGCTGGAAACGGGCGGGTGCCTGAGGAGGCGGCTTCTTGACTATCTGTGGCTATGGCAGCGACGCCCCATGCGGCGCCTATGGTGGGGGTTCAGAGTGCGCGCTTGGGGCATGACAAGCGTAGCCGTGAGCTGGATGAGGACAAGGTCGAAGATTGGGCATGGGAGCGAACAGGTGAGCTTGCATGGCAAAAATGTGAGGTGGAGTGTCAGGAAATTAGTTCAGACGAAGACATTGACAAGGTTGCGAAGCCAAAGAAGGGTGCGGGCCTATGGGGTGATGGACCGCCGCTTGCTTCAAGACTGTTGGGAAAGAGGCAGGAGTTTGCAGATGGATTTGGCTTGTGTTCTGCAGGTCGTTGGGAGCCTCACAAACGACAGTGTGCCGCTAGCATGCCATGCTTAGGTTTTGCAGAGCAGATTGGTGTTGAATTGTTGAAAATTTTGCGGAGTCATTTAGACATGCGTGCTCTGGCGATGAAGCTTGCAGTGGGTCGTGTGCAATCTACGCCCTTTTCTGATGAGCTGATTAGTGCAGGTCGAGAGCTGCTTTTCACAGCATTAGAATTTGCAGGTTCTAAATTGCCGGTGCGCGAGAGGCAGGGGGGGCAACCCTTTTTCTTAGCGGCCATTGAAGAGTTCTTGCGAATTTCGGGCGACCCCGACAGCAGAGCGTTCTACACATCAAGCAACTCCTTTGCTAAAGGAGTGCGCGTGGGGCCAAATGCCAAACTGCCTCGCGTTCCTGCCGTATTTGAGAAGAAGATTAAGTGGAGACAATACAAAGAAGAAGAGAGTAGCCTAGACATGGAGAGAGATAACTATTTGTCAGCCCGTGATCATGCTCGACTCGTTCAGAAGCAATTTGAAACTGAAGCTGCTATGGGTTGCATGATTGAGATGCCTTTGAGTGAAGCAAAGCAAAAATTTGGGGATCGGCTGGCCCTAGCGTCCTTAGGAGCGATAGGGAAGAAGGATGGATCGGTCCGTGTGATCCATGACGGGACACATGGCGTTGGAGTGAATCCAGCCATTGTGGTCCGGGATCAGCTCCGCACACCAACTGCCGGTGATCTGCAAACTGTGTTGCAAGTACTACCAGGTGCGTGGTTTGGCTTGACAGGTGATGTGGCGCGAGCGCATCGGTTGGTGCGAGTTGCTGAAGAAGACTGGGGATTACAGGCGTGCAAGACAGACGTGCGCCCAGATCATATTTGGATTAATACTGTCGGAACATTCGGCATTGGGAGCGCGGCATACCATTGGAGTAGGCTCATGTCTGGGGTGGGTAGAGCTGCGTACTACCTGCTGGGGCAGAGCGAGCTATTCATTCTTGTTTACGTTGACGATTTACTTTGGATCACGCGCGATAAAGTCGGAATTGAGAAGATTATCTTGACCATTTACTTCATGACCATTGTTGGCTTGCCGTTTGCATGGAAGAAGTTTCAAGGAGGTGTGGACCTGGCCTGGGTTGGTTTCGAGTTATGCTTGAAAGGAAGTAAGCTCGGCTTGTCGTTGGCGCGATCGCAATGGTTGGTTAAGTGGCTCAGTGACACAGCAGATTTGGGTCGAGTGCGTATTGCGGATATGTCTGCAGTATTGGGCCGTCTTTCTTTTGGCTTGACTGCGCTGGGACACTTGAGGCCGTTTTTGGGGCCAGTGTACGCATGGACGGCAGCAATGACGCGAAAGGTTATCACAGGCAACCTGCCAAAGGCGATCATCTTGATCTTTAAGTTCTTGGCAAAGGCCTTAGCAGACGGTGGGCGCCTGGCATCTGTGCCACCAGCCCCGGGAGACCAGGTGGAACTGTTTCGGACAGATGCCCGCGCAGAAGGAAATGAGATTTGGATTGGCGGCTGGGCTATGGATAGCACGGAGACAAAACGCTGTAGATGGTTTTCTGAAAAATTGGATCACGTATCTGCGCCTTGGCTTTTTACTGCAGGTGAAAGCTACAGACAGATTGCATCGCTTGAGCTGCTAGCCTCGTTAGCTGCGGTTGTCGTCTTCGGGGTGCCAGTGCAAATGCAGGGCAGAATCCATTGTTCGGCTGGGACCGACAACAAAGGAAATAGCCATGTGGTTGCAAGGTTGCTCACAACCAGATTGCCCCTTGCTGCGTTTTTGATGGAGCTGGCTATGCAGTTGCAAATGGTTGGCGCGAACCTCGAGTTGTACTGGCTGCCGCGGCTTCAAAACCAGGAAGCTGATGCGCTCACAAACAACGATCTGACTAGATTTGATGAGCAGCTGCGGCAAAGGTTTGACTTGGCCTCATTCAAAGGACTGGTCTTGTCAGACATGCTAGCTTGCGGAACAGAGCTGTATGAAGAGATTAAGGTAGCGCGACAGCGAAAAGCAGTACAACATGCGCAACGTGGACGAAAGTCGGACGCGCTTAAAGTGGCGCAGCCCTGGGGTTGAAAAAAGGGTGCGTGGGGGGCGTGCAGGATGATAGCCACGTCGCATGCTTTTCAAGTTGGGATTTAAGTTGTCAGCGGCGTGGCTGATAGAAGACGTTTGACCGTGGTAGGCGGTTGTTGTTTCATGCTGCATGGATTTTGAGAATTTCTTGGGTGCAGTGTGTTTTTCCACCACACCGTAGGAAGAAAAGTTAGTGCGGACTCGATTGCGGTTCTGCAGGGTTTAATGGAAGAGTGAGCTGATGCATGGCAATTAAAGTTTTGTTTTGTCTGTTGTGGGGACTGGAGTGGATTTTGGGTGTGAACCTCTTACTGTACAGCTGTGTTTGAACTTCAGCAGAGTTAATAGGACCACAGTAAGGTAGGATCTCGGGAACCTCTGTCTGGAATGTTGTGTTTAAACTTTGGCGGGTTGATAGGACCAATGTGCGGTAGGATCCCGCGGGTCGACACGCAGGGGCGAGTAGTGGGATTCGATAGCACCCTTATCGTTGAATGTTGCAGTAGGTGTAGTTGTCTTCGTTGTGGTGCTAACTTTACTTTGGGCAAAATAACTGGACGACCCGGGTTCGAATGTTCATCATGTTTCTGGATGCCTTACTTTTATGTGAACTTGGTCCACTTGATTGGTTGTGACTTGATCTCTGGGTGAGTCATGAGTTTCCATGATGTGCTTCGCGTGTGGACACACGGGACTACATTAGAGATAGGATCTCTGGCTGTTCATGTGGGTTTGCATGAAGTTTATCGCCTGTCATGTGGACACATGAGTTTCGATTTAGAGATGTGAGTCTCTTGCTTGTCATGTGAGATTAACATGAATGTTTGGACCTGTCATGAGGATTCATGACAAGATTGCTAGCTGGCCACTAGCGGTTTGGGCGTAACGGTTTGGCTGCGCGTTTAGCGTAACGGATTGGTTGCGCGGAGGGCCGCGGCGTTGGTGATGTTCAGTGTTTCTTGAGCACCCACCCGCCCGCCCTGGATTTAAGTTGTCAGCGGCGTGGCTGATAGAAGACGTTTGACCGTGGTAGGCGGTTGTTGTTTCATGCTGCATGGATTTTGAGAATTTCTTGGATGCAGTGTGTTTTTCCACCACACCGTAGGAAGAAAAGTTAGTGCGGACTCGATTGCGGTTCTGCAGGGTTTAATGGAAGAGTGAGCTGATGCATGGCAATTAAAGTTTTGTTTTGTCTGTTGTGGGGACTGGAGTGGATTTTGGGTGTGAACCTCTTACTGTACAGTTGTGTTTGAACTTCAGCAGAGTTAATAGGACCACAGTAAGGTAGGATCTCGGGAACCTCTGTCTGGAATGTTGTGTTTAAACTTTGGCGGGTTGATAGGACCAATGTGCGGTAGGATCCCACTGTCCAAACACCTCACATGTGCCTTCAGGACTCGCTCCCAACCGCAGCCTGTCGAGATACTCTCAATGCTCATCTCCAGGCAAGTTGTCGGAGTCCTCACTGTCCAAACACCTCACTTGTGTCTTCAGGACTTACTCCCAACCTCAGCCTGTCGAGATACTCTAAGCATCTCAAAAACATGTCATCTCCGGCAATCACTTGACAAGTCACTTTCAACAAATGACCTTACAGCCAACATGCCACAAAAAGTGAAACAAAAACACGTCACATGAATCAAGAATACGAAAGCTCTTCGATGCCCTTGACTTTACATCAGCAACATACCAACCTAGTGATCACTTCAGAACCTTAGTACAAGCTCAACACAAATCCCTGCAGAAGATTCAGGAGCTCAATACAAACGATCTCAGCTTCACCTTAGATGGCGTCCTTAGTACACTGCAACAAGGGTCAGCGGAGAATGGTGTGGGTAGCTCCGTAGAGCTCCGCTACCATGTAGAAAAAGCGCCGTGCACAGATCGGCGGTCAGATCAAACGCTTCTTCAAAATTCCGACAGAACTACGCAGGCGGACGCGTACGTCAACCACGCACACCAAACACAAGCGCAGAGCGTAAATTCACAAACCTAATTAAACTAAAGCAATACCGTGTCAAAAGGAATGTTTCTCCCTCGACTCCCACATGCTGACGTCAAGCTCCTTCTTTTCGCTCCAGACGCAACACGATCAGTCACGGGGAAACACAAACACAACAAACAAACAAAACAAAACCGGGAAAACAGAGAAGAAACGGAGGTGTTCCCTGTGTCGATCTGTCTTATGTCAAGTTATGTGACACAGCAGCTCTTGTTCATTAAATGACCTCCTGACACCAGTCCTTCGAGCCGATGTCTCAACTGGTAAACTCGATTCCAGGTTTCCAGTTAACAAACCTCAAGTTCTTCAAAATAAAGGTTTGTTGAAACTATTCCAGCTGCTAGAAGTCTACAAAACTCAATTTCACTAGATGAATTCAAAATCATCGAAACACTTCCAAAAGTTCTCAAAACAAACTGGTTTTCATCCAAACGTGAATAACCAGCTCATTAGTCACAAGCTGACTAACTTCTCAAGAACGAAGT